CCGATCTGCCCCAAACTCGACATGCCGGATCACAGTCCTGCCCAGAGCAGGTTTGCCCCACACCCTGCCGTGCGCAAAGGCCGACAAGCCTTGGGGCTTGTCCGCTTGCGGCTTTAATTATTGTTAAACCTACATTTGGAGATTTTTATAGATTTAAAAAGTGTTTTCAGGACTTTTACTTGACAGCAGCGTGACTAAACTAAATTGAATATATAACCCACAGATTTTTACCTTTGAAAAACTCACCCACAAAAGTTCAGTAATAAAAATAAAAAAAGCACAAAGCACCAAATCCTCATTGGATTCTTTTTCATATAAAGCCTTTATTATTTTACAAAAAAAAACACATAAAAAAAACATTAAAGCAGCTTTCATTTTATGCAGTTTTGAGCTTCTTTGTAGGTCTCTGGTCAGAGTCTGAGCTCTTTTCCTTCATGTCGATATCCTTCAGAAGCTGCTGCGGTGTTGCTGTGGTCGCCGCCCACAGACACAGCTCCAGTCTGTGGGGCGTCCAGTCCTGCTGTGCGTCCACTGAGGACCACAAGCAGTTCATATTATACAGAGCTTTTATTTAAGAGCATGAACAATCAAATGTGTTACATTCTGTAGATAAGATGATAAAAAAAAGAAGTATTTAAGCAGTATATCAAAGTGTCACATGGCAAAAGACACTTCAAGGTCTCTTTCTCTGTTCAAGTGTCCAAAAGCTTCACTTCATTTAGATTTTTTACTTTTTTTTTTATAGGTACCGTACATAAATTCTATTTTTTTTTAAAAATCATAAAATATAAGAATGTAACTAGATAGTCTTTATTAAGTTAGGATAATTTTAATAAAAACAGATTACACAGGAGAATAAAAACTGCAGTGTAATGTAAGACAAAAATGAATAGCTCCAATTTTAGTTTAATTAAAGGCAGAAGCAAACAGAAAAAGTTTAAGCACCGATTTAGAGGAATTCAAAGTTGGAGAAGAAGTTTTTGGGAATTTTTTTTTTCAGATACGTGGTGCAAAAACATCCGTGTTTTGTCTCTAGTGATCTGAGAGGATTAAATGTCAGCAGGCATTTTGGAGCTTAAACTTACATTTTAATTAGCAGTATTAATACTTTGTGTAATGCACTAATTCTATATAAAACCGACATATTACAAAATACAACTAGAACAAATGCAGGTGAAATTGTTTCCTCACCTTTGTTTAGTTTTTTACTCTGTTCGACCATCTTGTCCAGGTACAGCGCGTAGTGTTTGGCTGTGTACTGGATGGGCTTCAGTCCTGGGACACACTCCACGGCTTCATCAGACATGAATGCAGTCTGTTCTGGAGCCCCAGCTGCTAACACAGCTGGAACAAAATGAACAGTCAGCTACAAGCCGAGCCAAATGTCGCCATTAAGTGCATGCAAACTATTTAAACAGTAGGCAGAGAGTCCCAGCCCCTCAGTCCATCAGCGTTACTGTGAACTTATTGAGAATCAATCACTTGATCCTTTAAGAGGATCACAGACATTTTATTAGTGTGAATTACTGAGTGTCACTGAGCTTCATCTATTTGCTTAAAGCAGGCTTGATAAAGTTGTCTTTAAGAGGGAGACGATGTGCCGACCTGAAGCAGTCGCCGGGCCGATGCCTTTCAGGGAGCTGAGCTCTGCGATCGCCGCCTGCACGTCAGGCAGGAGGCTGAAGGCCTTTCTGGAACATTTCTCCACTGTGTCCTCGCTGTTGGACGCCACCAGCTGCTGCAACCTCGGCCTGAACTTCCCTCTCTGCAGGAGAACCAAACTTCATTACCATAATATGAGGTGTGTCAGAAAAGTTTCAGGACTGGTGTCACAAAAGATAGATTTCAAACCCAAACTACAAACTACCAGTTATCCCCTTCAGACCAGACCAGCAAACCAGCACATCTACAAAGAGATCCTGAGGCGTTTGCTTCATTCAGTGCATGAGAAGAGGGCGAGAGTTGTGACAGGACAAGTCTTGGCTGCTTCACCATGACAACGTGCCTGCTCACAACGCCCTGAGCATCCCACAGTTCCTGGCTGAGAAGAACATCAACATGCTGGAGCAACCTCCCTACTCACCCCACCTGGCTCCGTGGGATTTGTTCCTCTTCCCCAAGCTCAAGGGGGTCATCAAGGGGACGTGTTTGAAGACATGGACGACATTGAGATGGCTGTGACGATGGAGCTGCAGAGGATCCTGGAAGAATCCTTCCAGGACTGCATGGCAGCGTGGCAGAGAAGGCTGGGAAAGACTCTAGGGGGATTACTTTGAAGGGGAAAACTTGTAGTTCGGATTTGAAATATATCTTTTGTGACACCAGTCCTGGAACTTTTCTGACACACTTCGTATATGTGTGAAGGTGTGTTTAGTGGAGCAGTGTGGCACTGGGCTGAACAATTTGAAGAAAATATCTAATTGTGGTTTTTCTGACAGACATTGTGATTTGATTAGCAATATCATGAAGTCAGGCTTGAGTCGAACATTAAGACATTAAGACATATTGTGATTATTTTGCACACATTTCTTGTGCGACACAAATCAAGATTTTATTTTTCAATGAGAAAAACATTTTTAGAAAAGGTGTCATTTTTGCTGTAGTTTGTACCAAACATCTGGAGAATATAATTTCTCGGCTGAAACATCTCTGGAGCACCACGATTCTTAATTTATTTGGTAACGTTGAGACACATTTTACTTTTATCAAAAAATTACAGCTCCTGAAATGTGGATATTTCACTTGGCCAGGTTTGGATTTCGATAATAATTTCATTAACTTTTCAGCTCTAGTCTGGGTCAGACTCGCTGCATAACGCGCATCAGAAATTGGATTGCATCACTTCAAATTGCGATTTCAATTTGAAATCAATTAACTGTTCAGCCCTCGTGTGATAGTGTTGTGTCTGAGTTTCACTGGCAAAGGATGGCCTTAAACCAGAACACGCTGAGGAAATTTCATTCAAGTTTTTGCTTATGGTTTTGTATCCAGATGTAACTCACAGTGAGCTTCCACTCCATCAGTTTCACCAGCTCCGACTGAGTGACGTGTCTGTCGGGTCGGCTTGAAATCAGCGCAGGCAGCTCCTGCTGGTACCTGATGGCAGATTGACACGATTAGGATCAGTTCCCTTTAATCTTACACTCATAGCAAAGACAGTTCAAATAAACACATCTGATTTACAGCTACGAACAAAGATTTATTTTTCATGTCAACATTTGTGGGAAAAAAATAATACATGTCCACGTACAAGCAGATCTTTTATTACGTTCAGTAACTTCAGTTGTCATGTACAAAAAGTAGTGCTGATGAAGGCAAACAACCATGACAGTGTGAACAGCTAAAAGTGTTTAGTCTGCTTAACAATGCATCCGTTTTATATGTAAATAATCTGTTTATTAGTTAAAGTGTGTATAGTTTTGGATTAACTGTAGATTTAGTTGAAGCTCTTTTACAGACTGTAGGGATGAAACTGATACTGAACAAAAATCTGAAGGCAGCGTGTAATATTTTAATAAACTCCGTCCACTCTTTTTAACATGGGGAATAAGTATTTGTTGTTCCCACGCACGTCATCTCTACGACAGTCATCAAACAACAAGTGCACACTATATTGGAAATGATATTGGACAGATCGAGAGTGGGATCATAGACCACAAAACACAAGTCGGTAATGAGTCACACGTCTGTGACACACGGAGTTAATGAGGTTGTCGATGCTGCTCGTTGTTCCACTCGTCCTGAAGGGCTCTGGCGAAATTGATGGACATTTCAGTAGACAGGATTGCGCAATTTAACAATCACATTCACACATGTCCATTCAGAGCATCATGTGGCAAAATATCTGTCGTACGGTGCTGTCTATAACAATTTATTAGACAAAAAGTGATGCAGTCGTGGAGATTCAAGCTAATTAACATGCCAGCATCCAACATGCCAACTGCTTGTTCTCGTCTTTCTCTCATCATCTGTGTCATCGTGTCACTTGAATAAAGCTGCATGTTAAGGTGGCCTTTTGCCGTCAAACTAGTGTCTGGGTCACTCTATCTGATCTTTGTCCTTTCCAGGTGGAAAATGTGTCACCAGTTAAGCAGCTCAAAACTTTTTTTGTGCACAACGCCCTAAATCCATCCATTTTCTAACCATAACAGCAGAACTTTATATTTTTACAAGTCAAACAAGAAGATCATTTGCACGCTGCATTTGTGCTTTTGTTTGATGTTCTTTAAAAGTTCTAGAAGCAAATGCTGAACAGTGCACGACTGACTAAGAACCTGCAGCCTAAACACATAAATTAAATGCTGGTGAACACTGTCTCATCACAACTCGGTGGGTGTCCTAAGCAGACGGGGTTTTACTTATAGTCGTCCTTAAATGTATTCATACCCTCCCATTAAAGAAGGAAGAAAACAGCTGTCACTGAAATAAGTTGAAATTGACAAAAGTAAAAATAAATAAAAATGTTATGAAAATCATGACATTGCTTTTGAATTGTGGTTCAACAAGAATATATATAAAAACAAAAGAAAACAAGCATGATGGGACCCGTAAACTAATATTTAGTTGAACAACCCTTTGAACCAATCACTGCAATCAAGTGTTTTCTGTAACTCTCCATCAGACTTCTACACCTGTTGACAGCTATTTGGATTTTGGCCCACTGCTCATCAGCAAAGTGCTCTAATTTGTGCAGGACAGTTTTTTTTTCTTTTAATTATTCTTTTCAATCACGATTCAAAAGCAATGTCTGCTTTCACCAAATTATAATTTAGCAAATTTTTATTTATTATTATTATTATTATTATTATCATTATTATTATTATTTTCAGTTTCTAGTTATTTGAGAGACTATTGTGAATTTTGCATTTTCTTTAATGGAAGGGTATGAATAAATTTAAGGACAACTGTATGTCACGTAATTTAAATTTTAGTTATCTTATGGTCTCAATCAACAATGAAAAATGCACAACTTATGCAGTCGATGTAGGTTTTAATCAACTAAGGGTTACATGTACAACGTTATTATGATGTATAGTAGTTCTGAGAAACTCTTGACTGCATAAACAAATAATAAGAGTGAGTGATGCCAAAAAATAAATTGCTTTACAGCTGTTTGCAGACAATAAAATTACCCAGACATTGTCTTGCCCTAGCCACCCCAATAAAAACTGTCTGGCTCCAACACTGCCTTCAGTTGATTTGAAGTTGTTGAGAGATATTTCTTTCAGTGAGTGTGATTTTGTGACTGTTGCTCAGGATTACCACTTGTCAAGGCTCAGCAGCTTCCCAGGCTTCTTTCCTCGGGCCTTAACCTCCACTACATCCCAGTAGCTGTCATACGCTCTCCTCCATGTGGCTGGATCCTCACAGGAAAACAGAGCAGCCATGGCAGCAGAAAGCTCCCAGCACCGCCTACGAGAACAGACACAGCCTTTACATGACAGGAATAATGCACCACAACACCTTCACATTGAACGTGTGCTATTTTCACCTTAAAATACTCCGCGTTTATTGAGCACACCCCGCGCTTAGATTGGTTTGAAGAAAAGGAAAGTAGGATGATGCTTCCGCTAGCAGACAAGGAATTCCCGCGAGATTTCAGCAAAACGCAACTTCCGATACCGCAAGCAGTTAGCAACAGCTACAGAGCAGCAAGGTTTGTCCTCTGAAATACTTTGTTTTTTATTCTCCGTGCGCATTTTTTTACTTAATAGTGCGCACTTGTGATACTTCTCCAGTTGTTTGACATACTTGTGAAAGTGTGAGTTTGTCTGGTTTCGTCTTAATAAAACTGCTCGGTAGCTAGGTTGGCTAAGTAGCATTAGCATCAGTCATGTTTATGGTGAAGTGCGGCGAGTGTAGCTGTTGGTAGTAAAAACTCACCAGCAGTCAAATGAACACCAAGAAGCAGCTGACTGGGACATAATAGATACACGTTTTGGAGAAAAATTACCAACACCAAAGCACCAAGTTAACAGTGTTATATCAGGAGGTTTATGGTTAAAACCTGACAGCTTGGACACTGTTTATGAACATGTGAAATCACTCCAACACATCACATCTTCATGTGAGCACCAAGCAGTTACTAAGAAGATGATGAAAACAGACAAAACCACAACACTGGAAATAGTGTTCACCTTGCTGCATCAAATATTGATCTGTTGAATTAAATAACACTAAATCAAGAAGATACATGGTAGCCAATATATAATAGTATAATTACATGTGTGTCCAGTCAGCAATCAGGAATAGTTTGTAGTCATTTTGTGTAGTGACCTTGATAAAGAAGTTTCAGTTTTTTTCAGAAGGACACATAGCAGATATTTATTTTTTATTTTCGTTGTGGTTTTGATAAACATAAGAGATATGCCTGGGCCATAAACCTTGATACGATTACGCTGTGTTCCTCCAGAGCTTTCGAATAGCCTTCCTCTGTCAATCCATCCTAATCAAATGTTCCTACTTCATTTACACTTCCAAGAAGAGTCTCGAGACGCACATGATTTCAGTGGCTTTTGATTGCTTGTGGTGGTCATAACATTCTTGTGTTTTATATATATTCTAACTTAGCAGTTGATCTTACATATTTTAATCCTGTTTGTCATGTTTTTCAGTATTTTAAATGTATTGATTTTACGTGTTCCCCCCTTCCATTTTCTATGCTGCTTTTCACACTTTTTTTTATTGTTCTTGCCTGGTTTATATCATGTACAGCATTTTTGCCAACCCAGGTTGTTTTCTATTTTATATGTGAATAACTTCAATATGATCTGATGCCATTCTCTTACTTTCACGTTAGCTCTCATGGGAGCAAATGAAGAGAACTCTTTCCTGCTGCAGACATTGACAAGGCTGTCAGTTCTATACCAAGTAAGGATTGCAGATTTTTCATTCACTGAAATGTCAAAATAAATACAGTAGGACTCACTAATTGGTTTATTACACACTGCCACCTCTTAGACCAAGTAGTTTGTGAGTCTATTGTTTTTGCTTGAGTGCCACCTACTGGTGAAGTCAGGGTTTTTCCTGAATCAGAATGAACCTTTGTGAGGTGACTGCTCACAACAGTTAGCATGATTGGTCTGCTTACAGTAAAGACGATGAGTCAGTGTTACCTTGTTTGTCACAAATCTATGCATTTTACTGCTATTTATTGCCGTCTGATAAACAAAAATGTGGTTGTGTAATTGAGACATTTTGCAGCAATGCCGAAAAAGCAAAGATGACAAATGAAAGTGCAGTCTACCTATCTTGTCACTTTTATTGTCCTTGAGATAAAGAAAAAGCACTTTTTTTTCTGCACCGCTAGGAACATGGAGAAAATGTCACGGGTTACCACCGCCCTCAGCAGCAATACCATCAGTGGCCGAACTATGTTCTGCCACCTGGACGCTCCAGCCAACGCCATCAGCGTGTGCCGTGACGCCACGCAGGTGGTTGTGGCTGGACGCAACATCTTCAAGATCTATGGACTCGAGGAGGAGCAGTTTGTGGAGAAGCTGAATCTGCGCGTCGGCCGGAAGCCCTCTCTGAACTTTAGCTGCGCTGATGTCATGTGGCATCAGATGGAGGAGAACCTACTGGCCACGGCTGCCACCAACGGGGCCGTGGTCACGTGGAATCTAGGAAAACCTTCTCGCAACAAGCAGGACCAGCTGTTTACAGAACACAAACGCACCGTCAACAAGGTGTGCTTCCATCCCACAGAGGTTTACATGCTGCTGAGTGGCTCACAGGATGGCTTCATGAAGTGCTTTGACCTGCGCAAGAAGGAGTCTGTTAGCACTTTCTCAGGTAGAGTGATGTATTTCTAGGAATGTATTGTAGACTGAAACAAGTCCCCTTTATCGTACAAAACTTCTAATGTCTTTGCATGAAAAACAACACTGCTTTATATGTTTTCATAATGTCATTATCTGTGAAATGGTCGAGTTTATTGACGTGTTGTTGCATTTGATCGTCTACAGAATTTAGTTCAATTTGGGGAAGCAACATTTCCTCTGTTAGCGATGAGGAAACAAACTACAAAAGTTTTTCATACAGTTACAAATCACAAATGTACCTCAGAGCCCTTTACAGCGTGTAAATGAAACCCTCAGTACTTAGACTCTCAATATCTGCAGTTCAAGGCAGTACCGTGTCTGTTTCTAGGGATGTAACACTGTTCGTGCTTGTTTTAAACAGATACAAAAAATAGAATTTGTCTCTGCAAAGTAAAAGCCATGTTATTATCAAAAATAAATCTCTAGAGTTTAAACTGAAACCCTTCTCACTAATCAGAAATCGTCATTATATCCGCCTGCTAATACTCCCTTTCCTCCAGGTCAGTCAGAGAGTGTGAGGGACGTGCAATTCAGCATGAAAGATTATTTCACATTTGCTGCATCCTTTGAAAATGGCAACGTCCAGCTGTGGGACATCAGGCGACCAGACCGCTATGAGAGAATGTTCACGGCCCACACTGGTCCTGTGTTCTGCTGCGACTGGCATCCTGATGACAGGTAAAAAAGGAACTTTATACACTATCAAAATAAGAGATTTTTTCCTCTTATAAAATTGCAGGAAGGTTTGTATTTTCGAGACATCAAGCATGCATTTGTCGAAATGTGGTTGTCACCTTCCGCCTTGCTTCTGTTTCAGGGGTTGGCTAGCCACAGGCGGCAGAGACAAGATGGTGAAGGTTTGGGACATGACCACGAATCGGGCCAAGGAGATCTACTGCGTCCAGACGATTGCGTCAGTGGCTCGAGTTAAATGGCGGCCTGAGAGAAAGTTCCATTTGGCCACCTGCTCCATGATGGTGGACCACAACATCTACGTGTGGGACATCCGCAGACCTTTCATTCCTTTCGCCACCTTCGAGGAACACAAAGACGTGACCACTGGTATCGTTTGGCGCCACCAGCATGACCCTCACTTTCTGCTCTCCGGCTCTAAAGACAGCACGCTCTACCAGCATATGTTCAAGGATGCCACTCGTCCTGTGGACAAGGCCAACCCCGAGGGTCTGTGCTTCGGACTGTTGGGTGACTTGGCCTTTGCAGCCAAGGAGAGTCTGATCAGCAGTGACGCCAACAGAAAGCCCTACCCCGGAGGCGACCGCCGCTACCCCATCTTTTTCTTCAAGAAGCCCGACCCGACAGAACAGTTTGCCCATGTGTCCAGTGCGCTTAGCGTCTTTGAGACAGACTTGGACAGTAACCGCATGGACTGGTTTGTCAAGACGGCGCAACTCTACCTCCTCAGCGGGAAACCGTTTGCTGAACTGTGTGATCACAATGCCAAGGTGGCACGAGAGCTCAAAAGACCTCAGGTCAGACACTTCAGCACAGGAACAAACCTGCACTTTGTGCTGCTTTTTGTGTTTATCTGTGCAAATATTTCCGCTAGTTAGAGTTTAAATGGAAACAGCAACATTTTTCTTATAATACTAAA